ACACAAATGATTTACAACTAGTACAGTCACTCATAGGTAAAAAGATGATTTGGTGATGCATGAAAATAACTTTTCTCATCTCGTAGAGTTCAATAACAAACACTCTACAAGGTGCTTAAGTAATCCTTTCTTTCCCCCATCCCACACAGTTCAAATATAAACTTCACCTCATTCCTTCTAGATCACAACCTACACCAAATTGCTAAGATGTAACTTGATGAGATTTACTGTATTACTTTAGCTGTTGAATGGGTAAGAAACCAGCCTTTCAACCTGAGCGTTCTCAACAAGAGTACTAAGTTGAAATTTGTGAAATTTGTCATTTACTACATGAGTATAGGGACATAAAAAAATTATGAGCTTTTGTCATTGGGGATCAATGATTTGTCAGGCTTCAATATGCAAAATCGTTTCTATTTGGGCACACTTAAAGAGTAGAAGCAACTGGATTCTGAAAGCTACAATAATTAATCGGGTTTATATTGGTCAGGACTGAAATAACAAGTGAAGCAACTGAATTCCCCTAGGGAAGAAATGAAACACACAGAAGTGAATGAACAGGGAAACCTTGCACTGTGTGTGACGTCTCATCCTGATGAGGCTGAAGAGAATGGTACAAAAGACAATACAGCCAAGCCCAGGGCTCACACCTATAATCCTAGCTACTCAGGAGGCTAAGACCTGAGGATAGCGGTTCAAAGCCAGTCCAAGTAGGAAAGTCCATGAGACTTTCATCATTAATAAACTACAAAAGTAGAGCTGTAGCTTAAGAGATAGAGTTGCTAGCCTTGAGCAAAAGCAGCTCAAGGACAGCACATCAGCCCTTAGTTCAAGCTGCAGGACTATCAAGGGTAAGGTAAGGTAAGATAAAGTAAAGTAAGGTAGGGTAGGGTAGGGTAGGGAAGGGAAGGGAAGCTAAAGTAGGGTAGGGAAGGGAAGGGAAGCTAAAGTAGGGTAGGGAAGGGAAGGGAAGCTAAAGTAGGGTAGGGTAGGGTAGGGTAGGGTAGGGTAGGGTAGGGTAGGGAAGGGAAGGGAAGGGAAGGGAAGGGAAGGGAAGGGAAGGGAAGGGAAGGGAAGGGAAGGGAAGGGAAGGGAAGAATCAAGCAAAGTTCAACACCAGCCTGGGGAGCAAGTCCGTGAGACTCCAATTTGTTACTCAAAAAGCCAGAAGTGGAGCTGTGGCTCAAGTGGTAGAGCGCTACTCTTGAGCTAAGAGCTCAGGGAGAATGCCCTGTGTTTAAGCCCTGGGACCAGCAGCAAACAAAATGAAAAAAAAAAAAAATTGTGCTCCATCATTCCTAGCTGCTTGTTAACTCTAGAATGCCTAACACAGACATTAAAACTTCTCAGTGTCTACAATCACACTGTTTCCAGTGGTATTTTCTTTTCCCCCTTACTAATGTACAATAGTAATCATTCTCCTGTTAGTAAATATTAGAATGATTATATGACCTTCAAATTTTACAAGGTATTGAGTACATTTATTTTTAATAGTGCTGGTACTGGGGCTTGAACTCAAAGCTTCTCATGTTCTTACTTGGCTTTTTCACTCAAGTCTGGTGCTCTACCACTTGAATTATACTTCTGCTTCTGGTATTTTGTGATTATTGGCAACACAAGTCTCAGTAAGAGTCTCATGGACTTCTCTGCTCAGATTCAGACTACTAACTAGCTAGGATTACAGATGTGAGCACTAGTACCTGGCTTGGATCAGTATTTAAACCAAAAAATAAAATCAAACCTTAGAATTTCATAGTTTACTTTAATCCCCATTATTGAGATACAATTTGAGAAGTTATCCAAATACAAAAATCTTCCTGTGGAATGTTTTCAAAGCCAAGTCCTTCTACCAGTAGGTCTTTCTTTCTATTTCTCTGACAGATCTAAAGAGTCAGTTTAGAGCCAGAATTGACAACGCTCACTACTCCAAATAATGGAGCTGGAGGAATGTGAACAAAGTTTATTGAAAGGCTCCCACTCACTCTGCTCTCCTGCAATCCTGTCCTGCCCTTGAACCTGAAGTTGTTCCTGCACCTTTCATAGAGAGGAAAAAAAAGCCCTTTCTCTTGCCACAAAGTTGTGATGTCACCCAAGAAATTCAATCTTCAGAACTACAGGTGGAGTCTAGCTGCTCATAACTTTAGAGAATTATCCAGAAACAATATTCACCAAAGCAGCGAAGTCTGTTTCCTTGTGTGTGAGCTAAGGAAACCGAGTGTGTACACATGATACACAACAGCTCCTAACTTAATGAAAGGAGCCAAAGGACACAGCTTTAGCTTGCCCTGCCTGCTCCTGAGTTCATCACTTTGCTTTGTTTTGTAAGATGAGTTAGCTTCCCAATTTATATAAAAACTGGCAGCTCTATGAGCACATCTGGTATCTATAAACCAATTATATAACCACGCAAGTGAAATGAAGGCATCAGTGGGGACACATCATGGTTAGGAATCTAACTGTGATTTGCCTCAGTGTTGCTATACAACTCCAGCCATACCACCCTAGTGCTACCCTCTGCACACAAATACCCTAAATACTGGGACATGCCTGTTTCAAGTTTGTTTGTTTGTTTTGTGCTGGTCCTGGGACTTGCTTGAACTCTGGGCTTGGGCACTGTCCCTGAGCTTTTTAAAAAGCTCAAGGATATCACTACCATTTGAGCCACAGCTCTACTTTTGGTTTTGGCAGTTAATTGGAGATAAGAAATCTCCTGGACTTGGCTGTTTGAGCTGGCTTCGAACTGCAATCCTCAGTTCTCAGCATCTTGAGTAGCTAAGGTTATAGATGTGAGCCATCAGTGGTGCCTGGTTTTAAGTCATTTTTTAATAAAAATTGTCCCACAAATGTTTATAACAACTTGACCTCTGAAGCTATTGGACATATCTGAAGGTGACATGATATAGAGATCTGTAGTTCCAATTATTCATTCATGCTGAGTGAAATGAAAAAGTCATTTATCCTTATCCTTGCCCAGTCTCCGGAGGCCCCTAAAAGATTCCATCTGCAACTATGGTTCCATTTCTATAGGGGGGCAAAAAAAACAAGACAGCTCATGAACAAAATTCAATGTGAGATGCATTCAACTCAGATTTAAGGGATGGAGAAAGATAAACATTCTCTCTAATCCCTGTGGAGTTTCAACATGGCTATTAACCAAATCTGTCCTTGAAACTATTCAGTGATTCTTTATTAACTTTTCAGCATCCCAAGGTCTATTGCTACAATATATGCTAATTCAGATTCTGGGAGATCTGGGACTGCAGTCTCAGCTTTGCCAACAAGACTGTCCCATCTGTCAAATGATAGGCTTTCTACATGAGGCAGCAAGGAGTAACTTTCCTCTCAGGCAGAGGCTTTCACTGAGGTTCCTTCCAAGTCTCCAAACTACTTTCCTATTGGGTCTGCAAATATGCATTCATCACTCCCATACCACAAAGGAAAGTTTTTATTGCTGCTTCCTCTACTTTCTCCCCAATGTTTATGATACTATGTTGGAACATTTCACCTGTTGAACCACTGAAATGTCTGTCTTTAGAATGAGGGGTGAGCACACAAACTGGCAACATATAGACACATTTTGTTTAGCTCATCTTATTTACTTATTTTGTGCTGGCACTGAGGCAGTGAGCTCAGGGCTAGGGAGTTCTTCCTTAGCAATTTTTCTCAAGGCTGGCTCTCTACATTTTGAGCCACATAACCACTTCCAGCTTTCTGCTGATTAACTGACCATAAGAATCTCAAGGATATGTCTATCTGGGTTAGCTTCAAACCATGATTCTCAGATCTCGGCCTTCTTAGTAGCTAGGATTACAGGTATGAGCCAACACCAGCACCAGCAGATTATCTTTAATCAGTTGTCAACATTTTTTAAACCAGGGTACTTTAAATTTCTAACTCCTCCAGAAAAAAAAAATCCTATCTATAAACATTAAGTCGTCTGTGCAATGGTAGAACACTAGATGTAAGGAACTGTCCAGCTTCATTACGTGCATGTTCCATGGTTCTACACAATCCCACCCAGCACATTCTGTTCACCTATCATCTGTGACTCACTCAGGCACTTGAATTTGTATAGTCTAGGATGATTCCTTCATTTTAAAGATATGGAAAATTATAATCTAAGGAGGAAAAGTCAATCTTTCCAAAGACATGGATCAAGTTAGGGGCATAAGTGGAAGATAATTCTGATTCAGATACTGTTCCCTCCCAGTCAGCACACAACACAGACTTCTCTCTGCCTCTCCTCCACCAGTTGCTTACAATTTCTAAGCAGAATCGTATAGCAAGAGTTAGATATTATTTCCATCTGCCTAAATTTTAAAAAGAAAAAAGGATATCTAAAATAAACAACCTAATGATACATCGCAAGCTCTTAGAAAAACAGTAACAAGGCAAATCCAAAATCAGTAGAAGAAAAAAAAACAACAAAAAAAACCAATACTACTCCAAACTGAAGAAACAGTGCCTCAGGGTTCAAACTAAACTGAAATAACAACGTCTGTGCTCTTTATGGATGCAGGAGAAGCAATCTTAGCTGAACATCAGGCTGTACAGGTAAGGAGACAGGGGAACCAGAGAAATGATAGGCCTGAGGTTGTAGAGTTCCAGGGTAACACCCGGTCACCCATCTTCCAGCTCACTGCCTTTTCTACTACTCTACTACTCCCTGTCACCTCTGTACACGCACTCTTGCTTGGGGCCCAGCCTTCCCCACGTAGAACAAAAAGTAGAGAGTCCCCTCATAACTTCGCCATGCCAAACTTGACTCTACCAAGAACTAGTCTAGGATGATCAGCAAGCAGCTGATGGAACTTGATTTGCGCTGGAAGACAGATTTTCTCTAGGACTGGCATTTGGTGGAAAGGTCTGGTAGTTATGAATGTCACAGGATTCAGTGGTCTTTGTAACGCTGGCTCTTAGAAAAGCTAAACCCCATGAGAGAAGCTGCTCTAACAACATCATAGCACCTCCACTTCAACTTTAAATGAAAAGAAAAAGGCTATGGTAAAAAGCTTTAATAGCAGACTCAATGTGATTTTATAGGCAACCAATTAGCAACTTAATGAATCATTTAACTTTCTTAAAACCAGTATTCCATTCAAAAAAGATGAGCCCCAAATCATCCTTATACTGAGCAACATAACTAAGTACAAATGAAGTCAATGGTGTACCCCATTAGCATGCTGTGTTGTATGTCAATAAAACAAGCCCACCCCCGCCCCAAGCCCTGGCCACTGGCAAACATAGATAAGTGATTGTGCACTGCGTGATGATACCATTGGGTGAGAACTTTGGTTCATGCAGTCGGCCGCCACAGAGGTTGCACTGAAAACCCACTGTCCCGGTACCCAAAGTCAGTCAGTGGTGGCAGCTTGTGGCATCAGCCATGCTCCTTCCACAACACCAGGTGAATACTGTGGTCAGGCATGCTGGTGGCAAAGACCAAGCCTGTGTCATTGTGACCATCCAGTCCATTCAGCCAGGACGCTTCGCCTGCCAGGAAGCTGGAGCCTCTCTTTGACTTCCTGTACTCTGGCAGAGGCCAGCGGCTAATCAGGCTCTCAGTCCGCAAGTCCATGATATACAGGTAGCGGTTGTCAAACAGCAGGGCAAAGACGTCTCCAAAGCCAAGCAAGGCCAGGTTTGCTACCTCAGGAGTCTTGATGACCCTACAAGGATGAGAGTTAGGAATCGTAAGGCATGAGGCAACTTTTGTTTCTGTTTCATGCACTGGGATCTTTTCTAGATATAATTAAAACCAGTATAAAAATCCAAGCAAACTGCGAGCAAATGAAAGTTTTGAGAAAAAGGAAGTTGTAAGGACAAAAACAAATCCATAGGGGCTGGGAAGGTGGCTCAGTGGTAGAGTGCTTGCTTCACATGCATGAGGCCCTGGGTTCAATTCCTCATCACCACATAAACAGAAAAAGCCAGAAGTGATGCTGTGGCTCAAGTGGTAGAGTGCTAGCCTTGAGCAAAAGAGCAGCCCAGGGACAGCACCCAGGCCCTGAGTTCAAGCCCCAGGACCAGCAGGAAAAAAAAAAGTCTCACAGACTGCTGGGTGCCAGTGGCTCACTCCTGTAATCCTAGCTACTCAGGAGGCTGAGATCTGAAGAACATGGTTCAAAGCCAGCCTGGGCAGGAATGTCCATGAGACTCTTTTTTTTTTAACATAATAAATTATTTTTTTTAATTGTGAAAATACTGTACAAAGGGGTTACAATTACATGGGCAAGATGAGTACATTTCTTATCAAGCATTGTTGCTTCCTCCTTTGTTTCCCCTTCCCATCCCTTTCCATACCCCCCAACCCCCTCCATGAGACTCTTATCTCTAATTAACCACCAGAAAAATAGAAGTGGCTCTGTGGCTCAAATGGTAGAGCACTTGCCTTGAGCTGAAGAGCTCAAGGGTCAGCACCCAGGCCCAGAGTTCAAGCCCAGGAACAACAACAACAACAAAAATCCACTTCTAAGGGAAAAAAAATCTTTCAGTCTGGCTGCATCTAGGGGAGAGGTGATGTCTGATTAACATTTATAAAAACTTAATATATTCATTCAGACTAGAATGGGTCTTACAGGTTAGGTAACTCAACAGTTTTTAAGATGTGAAAACCAAAGCCCAGGCAGGTCAGGATTCACACAATCTGCCAAGTATCAGCTAGAACCAAAAGGCAAGAGTCAATCCATCTCAAGGTAAGAAGTCTTTATTATTCAAATTCTGTAACAGTGGAATATGCTGAAGCCCAAAATAAATCTAAAATCAAGGGATGAAAGTTGTTACTCTACTTTCCAGGCAGCAAACAAACAGGATTCTTTCTAAAAAGAGGCAGATAATATTGTTTCCAAAATAATTTAGAAACGTTTATTAATAATTTGTAAGAAGAACAGGCTGGGAAGGTGGCTCAGTGGTAGAGCGCTTGCCTTGCATGCCTGAGGCCCTGGGTTCGATGCTTCAGCACCACATAAGAAAAAAGATAAAAGCCGGAAGTGGCACTGTGGCTCAAGTGGTATAGCGCTAGCCTTGAGCTGAAGAGCTGAGGGACAGCGCCCAGGCCCAGAGTTCAGGCCTCATGACCGGACCCAAAAAAAAAAATAAATAAATAAAATAATTTGTAAGAAGTCATTAGAGAAACCTGAGGGTTTGCAGGGTGGCAAATTTCAAATTTTAATAACAAAGGCACAAAACAGAGAGACCTAACTAAACAACAGCACAGAAGTGGGGCGGAAGGTTTCTGTTGTCTACACCTTTAGTAAAGCAAAAGGTTGGCAAGTCAATGTCTTTTTTGGAGGCACTGGAAAAAGATCTTCAAGACATGGGCACAAGTACTTGTCTATGGTAATAAGACTGGGCTTCTGGGGGAGGGGAGTTTAGTCTATGTGTTAACAACGACAGATTAGAGTATGTCCAACAAGCCAATTACAGTTGGGGGAAGGGGAGAATGGTAACAAGGGCAAGTGAAAACAGCTGCAGAACATTCACTAACAGAAGAGAAAAAATGAGACACAGAAATTACACGTTATTACTCGTAACAGAGGAAGATGTATAAGAGAGGCCAGACATTACAGGCTTTAGAAGATGGAACTAGGGGAGCTGGCAAGGTGGCTCAGTGGTAGAGCGCTTGCCTTGCATGCCTGAGGCCCTGGGTTCGATTCCCCAGCACCACATATGCAAAAAGAAAAAAAGCCGGAAGTGGCACTGTGGCTCAAGTGGTAGAGCGCTAGCCTTGAGCTGAAGAGCTGAGGGACAGTGCCCAGGCCAAGAGTTCAGGTCCCACAACCGGACCAAAAAAAGGAAGATGGAACTAGGTTCAAAGGAGAAGAATGGCAAAGAAGTAGGTTTCAGTTTGATACAAGAAAAGGAGGGAAATATTTATTTATTTTTAATCTACCATGGGTCAGAAGTTCATCATAATTAACGTTACACCTCAACCCTTAAAATGGAGGTAGAGGTACTATCTCCTCTATACTCGTAAATAAACTGAAGCTGAGAGAAAAATGTCCTGCCATGGTCAACACAGCTAATATGACATTGATCTTCATTTGAGCCCAGATCTGTCTGACTCCAGACCTATGCTTTTTTTTTTCTTTCTGCATTTGGCTCTTTCCTGAGAGGGAGACACTGACCATCCTAGTAGAGGTGTATCTCCAATGGAGGTATTCAATTCCTGAAAAAATGGAGAAGGATACCAATGATGGATATGTTCTGAATATCTGACGCACTGGATCTCAGTGTTTGCTCCATTGAATAGGGAAGGCACACATTAGAAAGAAAAAATAATATTTGCAGGGAAATGGATAGGAGTAGAACAAATCATGTTAAGTGAGGTAAGCCAAGATCAGAGAGACAAACAGCGCTTATTTTCCCTGATAATGCAGAAATTAGGTCTAAAAGACACTGGGATATGGCAAATGACACAGAACTCTAGATACTTACATACAGTGAGACCAAAGAGGATAGTCCTAGGAGAGAATCACAAAGGTGTAATACCCCAGCACCTCCTCATATGTATATAAAATAATATACATATTGAAATGAACTCCAAAGACATGGAAACAAAGGATTTTTTTCTTAATTTGGTCTTTCTTTTTTTGTTGATTCTGTATTCTTTACCTTATATACAGTATCTTCATATCCCACATCTGTGGGAATGTGGAGACAGGGCACATCAGAGGCAAAAGGATGAAAAAGTACAGCAGTGGGGCACACTGGCTGCCCTGGACACTGATGAAAGTGAACTATGGAACTAGTAGGCAGAGATGGGAGAGAATGAGGGAACAGATGACAGACACTATGTGAAAGAAAATGTACTTATTTCCAGATGTATGTAAAAGTAACCCCATTGTGTATCACCTCTAAAACAACAACAAAGTTAAAAAAAAAAAAAAGGAATAGGGAAGGCACAACACACACTGTCAGAGAATATAAGACAAGACTCAGCACAAACACCAAAGTGGATATAATGGGTGTATCAAGGAGTAAGCAAATCAATCTACCTTTCCTTAGCTAAGCTAGGAACAGTGTTTTACTTTTTCTTTCCTGAAGAAATAGAACTGAAAAATCCAGATTAATATATTACTTAAATTCCTAAAGTTTACAAATCTTCTATCATAGGCATAAGTTTCTCTTACAATTGATCATCTGATAAAAAAAATTCTGATTCTGCCAATAAGGGCAACACTTCTAATAAAACTAAGCAAAGAGTTAAGAAACATTAGTCCTCTGCTAGAAAAGGAGACTAAAGCATAAACTCACTTTGCTAGATTAAAAATGGAAGGAACTCTGCTCAAAGAGGTAGCCATTTAGAAAATTTCAACAGCACTTATTCAAATCGCTGAATACTTTGTATGATACAAGCCTTCGTAAATAGTTCTACAAGATGGGGCTTGATCCCAAGAGAAGCTGCAAATTGTGATTAACATACAAGGCAAAACAGGGGTTCTGATTAGTTTGCTCCAGTAGTTACATAACCAGCAACTCATCTATCATTTCCCACCTAAGATGACTTGCTCATTCACTCAGCAAGTATTCACTGACAACCTAAAGTGTGCTGAACACTGTTAGAACCAGGATTAAGTAGTGAATAAGACAAAGTTCTTCACATAAAATCTGTCCCAAACTGAATTTATTAGCCAAACCGACTTCTGTTTCCTCACTTGCTAATTCATCCAAACGCTTAAGCTAGGAAACATGGCAACAGTCTAACTATCCTCCTTACTCAAATCACATATTTATTTAATCACCAGGCTCTACCTTACTAACTCTTTTCAAATGTATTCATTACTATCTCTACTAGCACATCTCAGGTCCAAAACACCATCTTTGCCAGCACTACTTTCAACAGCTTCCTATTGGTTTCTCCTCATCTATTCTTAGCACCTTTTAATCAATTACCTACTAAAATCTGATTCTGTTGTCATCTTGCTTCAATTCTTAATCTGATTGCTTCCAACTGTCCTTCCATCTCCAAGAACACTGATGAATTTCTCAAACAGACCAATCTCTCACATCTATTACTATATGCCTACCTCTGATACATAAAGTATACATGCTATACTTTACAGCAGCTCCCAAGATCTCTTCCTGAAAGCAAACACCATTTTATGTTCCTTTTAGTCCAATCAATAAACAATTTGTATATAATTAACTTTTATATGTATGTATCTTTTTGTGGTGCTGAGAACTGAGTAACAGTCAACAATCATTTCTAGAAATGATTTGGACAGCTCTGAAAACTCATGTGAGCTAGGCACACTATGATTGCAATTTACCTAGCCTCTGTAATTAGCTAGTGAGTATCATTTTTCCCTTACTATTCTTATTTCCATGAGTCCGGTATCTCTTAGGCTTCCCAGTACACAACAAAATGCCCAACACATACATAGATATTCAATGAAAAGAAGTAGTGCAAAAAACACAGATAAATACAGGTAAATGCCTACAAAGAGATTTAAAGGAAACAAAAAACAGCTAGAAAATCTGGTAAGCCTTACATCATCATCATAAAGCTGGAAACTGGGTGAGTCTGGGGACAGTACTTAAGAATAGTAAAGATAATGATGCCAAAGACTGAAACATTAATATGTTGCTCAAGAACACAGGTCTTGACAGGCTTTCAGGACTTTGTTTTGAACACTTTAGAACTGTAAACAGGCTTCCCTGCTGGCAGTCTGGTTCCTGAACCTAAGTAACCTTGCCTATTGCACTGAGATAACCTAGCTCTAGAGACTGCATCATGTCTTGGACTGATTTGAGTAACATGCTGTCATTTGTGCTTTGCTTCTTTTCAGTTAGCTTCAAAGCTTAAATGGCCCTGTGAGGTCCTAGCAACTCAGGCCACAGGATTTGTAGGGCTTCAAAAGAGGTTAGTTTATTTGTGTTTGGAGAGGGGAAAGGCTGAGATGAAATAGCCTCTTTATCAATGAAAACTCTGAACCTAACCCTTCCTATCAGTAATAGTCCTGAAGGTTCTTCTTTTTTTTTTTTAAGATAGTATATTCAAACACTAAAAAAAACCAAGAGAACATTCTAGGACTCTTCAGATGCCATTCTGAGTAGGGGAACATATAAGAGACAGGAAAACACAAGATCAAATAGAGCCTTTATCAACTACTAAGCATTGATATCACCATACCACCTTACCTCGAAGTTTTTATTCAAAATAAAAGCTAAATTCATTTGGAAAAGATACAGCTTTCCTAGGGTAACTAATGGAATGTTTCCCTTTGGAAAAAAGTTCCAGCAAAAGAATTTTTGATGCCTCCTATCTTTGTGGCTCATTAAATATTAGACAAGTCAGCCAAGGATGGATGAATGTTGGTGTAGGACATTGGAAATCTGTGCAAAATTACTATCAGAATTACTATTTCTCCATTTACAAGTGGAGAGTTTAGAGTATTTTGGAGTCAGTTTCAACCAGTTTTTACTCAAAGCATAATCAATAACCACTTCTAGAAAGAATTCTCACAGCTCTGAAAATATCAGAAATGTTGGTCTGAGGAACAGGAAGAAATAAATGAGGTTATAACTTTGTGACCAGAGAGACATGGCCCAGCCAGGTCCTTCTGGGTAGTATATTCGCACTTCACGCAAGCTGACCTCAAATAGATTGTCATGCATAAAAACAATGAAAAGAATGTTCAATGTTCCCCACTCCTCAAGGTCAGCATTTCCTGAATCATGCTGTGGAACATTAACACTGTGAATTGTTAACAGGGGAATTCACCACAAGTATGAAGTACAAGAGGTAAAATATAAACAGGTTTCTAGCTTTTGGGCGGGGGGGGGGGGGGGGGAAGCAGTACTTAGGGCCTACCAAGTACTCAGCCATTTGTGCTACATTTTCAGCCCCTCCTGATATTTTTAGGTAGGTTTATGTGGTTTTGACCACTCTGGCTTGGATGTTGATCCTTCTACCTATGGGCTGTCCCAAGTAGCGAGGACCATTCGTGCAAGCTAAATCTGGTTTACTGTCTGAGATAGGTAGGGTCTCGTTTTTTTGCCCAAGCTAGCCTCAACTGACTATCTTCTCAAATGCCAGATCCCTTGTACCTGGGATTATAGGTATAAACCACCACATTCAGCCTCAAATGTAGGGTTTCACAGTTAGTAACAGAGATTTGCTAATTCCAGTACTAGGTCTTTACCACAGGCATTTTATTTAAATCTCACTTTGTAAATTAAAAAAAAAAAACTGAGGCACAGAGGAAATGAAAAATGTACATAAAGTCATACAGATCACAGTCTATTTTCTGCACAGGGAGCAGGAAATGTTTCTCTTTCTATTTCTCCCTACTTTTAACCCTGTTATAGTAAAATAAATCCTTGCTAAAACTTTCACCAGTGAGACTCTCCTTTTTGTGAAACAGCCTGAAACTCTTTTCATGTGTAGATTAGATCTGAAGGACCTGAGATTTTCCCCTAGGAACTGGAAAGCTGAAGGTCGTCTCCTTCATTCTCCAGTGACAGAAATAGGCAAGCCTGAGAACCAGGAGTTGAATCTCACAAGGCCAAAAGAAAATGAAGATGGGAGGGTAGTAGAAGAAAGTAACAATTAGAGATTTGAAAACAAAAAAACAAGAAAAGAAAATGAAGATGGGAACCAGTTAGAATTTCTTGTGATTCTCCATTAAGAAGAATTTTAAAGAATTAGAAATATTAGATTAACTAATAAAGTTACTATTGCAGCCAATATGACCTCAATATAAGTTAGGTAACAAAATTTTGTATAAGTTTTGTATTAAATGGGAGTTTTTATTTTCATACTAGTCTCTAACTACATTTATTTTGCAAAAGGGAGGGAAAATGAATGAAATTCTCTATGTACAGATTTTTCGGATGGCCATTATGTCTCATTGTAGAGAAAAACTAGCATTTTCTAAGGATTCTGGGAAATTTCTCCATGAATCTAAACTATCTACAACTTTAAACTACCAAGTAGTTAGGTGGTTGTAGCCATTACTTTTCACCTAATTTAAAAGGACTTATAAGTTCTACCTTCAGTCTGGTGCATTCCTGAAACGAAGCAAATGTTTGGATGGCAGCTCGGACTGACGCTGATGACGTCCATTTCAGTGATACAACTAAATCAATGGGAAATGCTACCATTCCTAAGGAGGAGCCAAAGTGTAACTACCAAATTAGGAATGCCAATGTATAATGTAAAAGGTATATGATTAATTGCTTAACTGAAGCAATAAAACAGCTACTACATAAGATTAAGGGATATCACGCAGGGAAAGAATGAACATCCTAACCTATTTCTAGGATGCTTAACAGTGACCCAGAAAAAGATTATTACCAGTCCAGACCCAGTAGAGAAACACCTCTGAGAGTATCTTTTACTAGCCAGTCAGTACCAGTTACCCATCTTAACTTGTGAGGTTGTCAATTACCAGGATTTAATAGAACAAAATAAAGATTAGTTGCAGATAAAGAGGTAAGCCCAATTAAGGTTAAATATAGGCTATAGATTAAAGTTCGAACTCTAAAGGAAGATTCCTGGAGGAATAAACTGAGAAAACTACAGTAGGCTGATTATAGTAACCCAAAGGAAAAATGTTATGTGGAGAATCAGGACATTGGAAAACTGAATACACTAAGGGGCCACGTTATCAAAAGACATGCTGCCTCTGCCATAAATGGAAACACTGGAGAAAGAACTATCTCTGGAGAAAAGGGGATGGGGACGTGGGAAGTAGAATCCACCTCCAACATGGCAATCTCTGCAGACTAAAGATACCCAAGAGGATCCCACTAATGGAACCCCAACTAGTCAACTCCTAGCATCCTATGAGGAACCCTGGATGTCTTGAGATGTGGCCAAAAGGTTTATTTTAATAGACAGTAGGGCCCAACTTTTTGTCTTAACTGACTTCCCTACATTTCTTTCTCAATGGAGCTGCATGGTAACCAGAGCTGATGAAACTGCCATGATCAAAAGATTTACTGCTCTAAGTTACAGATATGAAAATGTTATTTTCTCCCAAAATAAATCTTTCAATAATTTCTTACTGTACCAAAATGCCTCATGTCAGGAAAAAAATTACTTTAGAAACAAATGTGTTTTTTATAAATTATTGTATGGAAAGATAATTTGAGATTGTTTCCTTCTTGGTTTTTACTAAAATAGTGCTACTGAGCACATTTTATTTTGATGAAGTTTTATCTAAATTCAAAAACCTGTGTTAAAATTACTTCAAATTGAACAAAAAAATAGGGACAGAAAAGAAAGATCTCATAGAAGAGATCTATCTTAAATAAAAAAGACAGAAAAATTATGAGGATTTTTTTTGGGGGGAGGAAATTAAAAGAAATGTTTTCAGCTAAAGAATTTTTTTGGTAGAGTAAGGTTTGTCCTAACTGGTTGTTCCAAAATGGGGGGAGGGAAACCTATCAAACAACAACAACCAGGTTGTGGGCCAAAAATATCAGCAGGCTCCAGGTCATACAGACCATCACTGGTCTTTGGCAAAGAGAGTTACCAATGCCGTAAGACTTTGCACCTAAACCAAAGTCTATCCCTAGAGTAAATTCTCTCAATGTATCACATGACATTTGTGACACCAGCTGCTATGAACTTCAAATATGCTGAGATACTGCCACTCTTCTGGCAGGGGCGGGGGGGGGAGGGGGGGAGAGTCTGTGGTATAAAAAAGTTGTTTGTCCATGGATCTCTTATTTACTTCTTTGGAGGGAAACCCTGCAAATTACACTTTTTCTAAGTAATTCTATTTCTACTAGTCAAAAAAAGGCTGTTTAACATGTAGACACTGTTGAGATTTACCAGGCTTGTGTAACAATGCAGAATTCCTACTGACTTGAAGTAAAACTTAAAATATCAGAATGGAAGGAGGTATGAGAGATCTCATCCAAACTTCTCATATATTAAATCCTGCAAGGGGAAGTATTTGTGATTCAGAGTAAGGGAAGGATTAGAAAAACCAGATCTTTACGTAGTAGCATTTAACCCTTCCTCAATTTGCTTGATTTCTCTAGAACATGTATGAACGATTCAATATGTATAACTGATTCAATATGTTTATAACTGGTAAGTATTTTCTAAAAGCAAGCTTCTGACTAGTACATTCAAACATTTAGTCTGAAATGCAGTAGATTTTCAAAGGTAAAGCATATGGCACAAGGAAACATTACCTGAGAACATCATAACTGGCAAAGTCCCACTGGTAGAGACCAAGTGCTGAGCTACAGACAATGTATTTGCCATCAAAATGAAGCCTTGGCTGCAGGCAGATACTTCTATCCTCGGAGACAGACAATGTCTTTAAGCACTTGCAGTTGATTTCTCTCCCAATTGGCCAAATCTACAGGGGGAAAAAAAGGTCATGTCACCACAGAAGGCTAGTCTTAAACAATGTGGTTTTCAATGATGCTTGAATTTGCTAAAGACAAAAGTAAAATATGCAGCAAATACCTAGTTAAGAGTTATGGAATTAAATTCGGATTCTCCTGTATAATGTTAAGGAAAATACTTTGCCTTTCTGAATCCTTGTTCTTGTAATGAAGACCAATGCCTACCACACAGTTTAAAAGATGAAATAAAAATGTACGAATTTGCCGGGTGTCGGTGGCTCACATCTGTAATCCTAGCTACTCAGGAGGCTGAGATCTGAGGATCACGGTTCAAAGCCAGCCCGGGCAGGAGAGTCCGTGAGACTCTTATCTCCAATAAACCACTAGAAAACCGGAAGTGGCACTGTGGCTCAAGCAGTAGAGTGCTCGCCTTGAGCTGAAGAGCATAGGGACAGCGTCCAAGCCCAGAGTTCAAGCCCCACAAATGACAAAAAAAAAAAGGATGATTTCATTGTATGAATTCTTTGCAAATTGTTAAAACAAATGAATGTTTTCATAGTTTAGATCTAAGACTTGAGGAAGGGAGGAGGCATGTGCCTTAAGAAAAGAGTAAGGGCACAAAAAAAAAAGAAAGAAAAGAGTAAGGGCTTATAATTCCAGCTACTTGGGAGGCAGACATAGGATAATGAAATTCAAGATCTGCTGGGAAGCCGGGCAACAGTGGCTCACACCTATAATCCTAGCTACTCAGGAGGCTGAGATCTGAGGATCGCAGTTCAAAGCCAGTCTGGGCAGGAAAGTCCATGTAACTCTTATCTCCAATAAACCACCAGAAAACAGGAAGTGGTGCTGTAGCCCAACTGGTAAAGTGCTAGCCTTGAGCTGAAGAGCTGAGGGACAGCGCTCAGGCCCAGAGTTCAAGCCCCACGTCCGACAAAAAGAAAAAGAAAAAAAATCTGCTGGGAAAAGTGGGCAAGACTAGCTCTCAAAATCAAAAGAGATAGGGATGTAGCTTAAGTGGCAAAGCATTTGCCTGGGAAGCATGAGATGTCCTAGGTTCAATCCCCACTACCATACCAAGAACAGAAAAAGGAAAAAAGGAAAGAGGGAGAGGAAGAGATCAAGAAAAAATAAGGAAAAGAAAGCAAAATACAGTAAAGCTTGGTGACACATCCCTATAACCTAAATACTTAGGAGACTAAAGCAGGAGGATCATGACTTTACGGCCCACCCTATACTACACAGCAAGAATCTGTCTCCAGCCAGGCACTGGTGGCTCACGCCTGTAATCCTAGCTACTGAGGAGGCTGAGATCTGAAGACTGCAGTTCAAAGCAAGCACAGGCAGGAAAGTCCCTGAGACTTTTACCTCCAATTAACCACCAGAAAACCAGAAGTGGCGCTGTGGCTCAAGTGGCAAAGCATTCACCTTGAGCTCAGGGGCAACGCCCTAGGTCCAGAGTTCAAGCCCCATGACCCACCAAAAAAAAAAAAAAAAAGAAAAAAGAATCTGTCTCCAAAACAGAAAGAATGAGAGAAATCTTTTTTTGTGGATTTCATTTGAAAAACAGGGTTAGAAACTGCATAGCACTTAGCCTTGGAATGTTTTTTAATATAATTTTATTATTATTAAGGTATTGTACAGAGGGGTTACCATTTCCCAAATCGGGTAGTAAGTACGATTGTTTTTGGACAATATCATCCCTTCCTTCCCTTTCCTCCAGTTTCCCCATCCCATCCCCACCCACAAATTGCACAGCTCATTTTCCACATAGTGTATACTGAATACCATGACTACATTTTCTCACCCTTGCTTCTTCCATCTCAGGACCCTCCTCTATCCCCTTAAAAAGACAAAAAAAAAAAAAAGCAAAAACCAATACCACCACCAACAGCAAACCCTATATAGGTCTTGGAATATTTTGCCTTTGTTATCCCTCTTCAATTTCCTTCTCTTTCCTGTTTTTCTTTAGTGAGACAATTAGTAGAGGAAAAAAACTCACCTTGATCTCATATTTGTCTGCACTTAAGAGGATATAGTCTCCAGGGCTATGCAAGAGAGACTTGACTTTGCACTTCTGTAAAACCACCTGCAAATATGAAGATCTATGTTATACAAAAAGCTTTTCAACGCTGTTCCTACACAGATTTTATACTCATAACTGGACACAAGGTGCACACTTGTCATCCAAGCTATGTGGGAAGTTGAGATGGAAAGGAATTGAGGCGTCAGGCCAGCATGAACAAAAAAGTCCAAGACACCATGCCCACTGAGGGAAGCTGGACATGGTGGTGTGTGTGCCTGTGATCCCAGCAATAATGAGAAGTCTAAAGTAGGTAGATTACCCATTTGTACAATTAATGGTAAATGTTTTGTTTTCAAGTAGGTGGATTGTGGCTTTGCTGAAAACACAGGAAGGAATTAAGACTCTATCCTAAAAATAGCCAGTGAAAAAAACAGGGCTGGAAGTGTGGTTCAAATGATAGATGCCAAAATGCCCTAAGTTCAAGACTTAGTCTTGAAACAGGGGAGGGGAGGGGAGGGTAGAAGAGGGAAGAGAGAGGGGGGAAGAGGGGGGAAGAGGGGGGAAGAGGGGGGAAGAGGGGGGAAGAGGGGGGAAGAGGGGGGAAGAGGGGGGAAGAGGGAAGAGGGGAGGGGAAGGGAGAAGAGGGAAGGGGAGGAGAGAAGAGAAAGGAAGAGAGGGGAAGGGAGGGAGGAGGGGAAGAAAAGTGAGTAAGAGTTGAGCTAATATGAAATACTAGAATGACTAAGCTATAACTGTATTATCCTATTAACTCCTACCAAGATTTTTATTACAACTATTTTTACTATAAGTAGTATCTTGCCAGGTGTGATGACACACACCTGTAATCCCAAAACAGGAGGATTAAGGACAGCCTGAATTACTTATTGTAAGATCCTGTCTCAAAAAAAGTATAAATAAAGTAGGCTGGGAAGGTGGCTCAGTGGTAGAGTGCTTGCCTTGCATGCATGAGGCCCTGGGTTCAATTCTTCAGCACCACATAAGCAGAAAAAGCTGGAAGTGGCACTGTGGCTCAAGTGGTAGAGCGCTAGCCTTGAGCTGAAGTGCTGAGGGACAGTGATCATGCCCAGAGTTCAGGCTCCACGACTGACAAAAAAAAACAAGTATCTACCCAGACACTAGTTACTCATGCCTATAATCCTAGCTACTTAGGAGGCTGAGATTTGAGGACTGCGGTTCAAAGCTAGCCCAGGCAGGAAAGTTCATGAGACTCTTATCTCCAATTAACTACCAGAAAACCAGAAGTGGCACTGTGGCTCAAGCAGTAGAGCAGTCGCCTTGAGCTGAAGAGCTCAGGGACAGTGCCCAGGCTGAGTTCAAGCCCAAGATTGACAAAAAAATAAAGTATCTAAAGGTATCCAATGTTGGCTGTAATTAGTCTTATCTTTAGCCTGAAAGCAGACATTATCTTTTAAAAATTATAAATGTGACTGAACAGAAGAATATCCAAAGAAAAAATCCATAGGCAAATTAGTAAACGCAAATAATCACTTTTCAGAAATGTGCACTATAAAAAATATACAGTATATGTATATATGTGTGTGTATATATCTGTTATATATGTATAAATTATATATGTAATTTTCCAACCCTAGACAAGACCATCATATCATTTACATCACACACACATACACCCACCACTTTGTTGCTGGAAATGAAACTGAGAGTTTCAAAACACATACTAAGCAAGAACTCTACAACTATACCTTCAGCTCTACCTGTATATTTTGGTTATCTTCTTTCACATAACCATGGTGAAGATGAAATAAAAATTCTAAGCAATAGTAATAATAATATTAACAGTAAGAGTAATGTAAAAGAAGCTAACATTCTACTGCATTTGGAATAATCGATGCATACTAGGTTTTAGGGTTTGTTTGGGAGGATTTGAATTTAGGACCTCATGCTTGCTACATAGGCACTATAACAATGGCACTCCTCCAGCTCTTTTCTGTGCTTGCTTTTGTTGTTGTTGTTTGTTTGTTTTGGTGGGTTGTAGGGCTTGAACTCTAGGCCTGGACGCGATCCCTGAGCTCTTCAGCTCAAGGTAAGCGCTCTACTACTTTACTACTTGAGCCAGAGCCATTTCTGATTATTTGGTGTTTAATTAGAGGTAAGAGTCTCACAGACTTTCCTGCCCAGGCTGGTTTTAAACAGTGATTCTCAGATCTCAGCCTCCTGAGTAGCTAGGATTACAGGTGTGTGTCACTGGTGCCCAGCTTGTGCTTGTTATTTTTGAGATATGGTTCACGTCCATATTGATCTACTGACTTTATGCTTCTTGTAGTAGCTGGGATAACATGCATGCATCACTATGCTCAGCTTCTTGTACTGAAATGAAACTCTATGGACTTTTCTGCTGGCCTGGAACTATGATCACCTTGATTTTAGCCTCTAGCATAGCTGGGATGACAGGTGTGTGCCACTGCATGCAGCTACTAGTTAAGAAAGGATCTCCCATGTATATCCAGGCTGGCCTCAAACTACAATTCTCTCAAACAGGTAGGCAGGAGCCACAGGTGCCTGGCTGGGCCTAGCCAGTTAAAACCAATCAATCAATCAGCATAAGGTAAGAAGAAAGGCAAGATTTACTTGTTCAGAAGCCTGGGTTGCAGATTCAACTGAGACCTGATAGTAAGCATCAGGCACTGTGCTGGGTGCTAGCCCAACATGTCACTTAATGATCATAAAATCCAGCAGGTGATAAATTCACGACTCTCTTTAGCCTCACCTATTTTAGAAGAAAGGTCTAACTATCTACCCAATCTAAAACCTACCAGCTATCTGTGACTTTTTTAAGGTTTTTTCTTTTGATTTTATTAATCTTACTGATTTTTTTTAATGTGATACTGAGGAATCAAACTCAGGGCTTTATGCCTGCTACTCAAGCACTGTACCACTACACCACCTTCCCTGTCCCTATGATTCTTTATCCCCCATATAGATGCTGCACACTATCATGGAATAGAGTGCATGTATCTATTCCACCGGCTGCACCACCATCTCTTACCACTGTACGGTAGTATCTGCCATCATCCATTCCCACAAATGAAAAGCCTGACATCAGGAGGCTTCTTAAGTTTTCCTACCTTAGTAACCCATTCCGTGTGCCCGGTGAGTGTATTGAGGCATGTCCCAGCAGATAAAGCCCAAACTTTCACAGTGAAGTCTGCAGAGCCACTCACCAAGATATCCAGTTCATCGTTGTAGTCCACGCTAAACACTAGTGCATATAACATACACAAAGTTAAAACATACCCTTCTGCCAGTGGATCTTTGTTTAACAAACGTTCAGCACTGTTTATTCTTCCTAGCTGCCTAATGGTTTAATTCCCTAACAAGAGTTACTATAATGGTGCTTGCTACTCAACCAGCAATATTATGATTTAAATTTTAAAAACCTATTGTAAAATTATCATTATTAAAATTTATTAAAGTTGGAAAATTCCAAGAACAATACAACCTCTTACACTTGTGCCAGCTTCAAAGTGCAACACACAACCAGTCATAGAGATAATGGCACTTCCTAAAACCATCTGCCTGATATTACACAAATTTTTACTTAGCCTATGTAGAAAAACAGAACATACATGACTTTATTCAGGTTTGTAATGATAGTAAAAGAAAAATGTGAAGAATTTTAAGCTTCAAAACAGGACTCTGTTAAGAAAAACCAATGTAAAGAGAAAAAGGGCAAACTAAGTCATTCATTCAATATAGTAATACCTAGCAGTTAAATCTGTGCAGGTACAGTAGTAGAACATTCAGTATTTCTTTCTGTCTTTAAGTTCTAAAGGACACTGAGAACCTGGAGATGAAGATAGTAGTACTTCCTTTAAAGGAATTTAAATCTGGGAAGAGAAGTCTAGAAAAAAAGTTTACCTCTTGCTAGGGAAACACCATGGAGAATGACTAAGTCTGCACAGGCCTATCAGGGAGGACTTCAGGGAAGAGGTGGTATTGGAAATAGGCCCTGAAGAATAAGCATTTTATATCAAGAAAAGGAAAAGAATTATGTTGGAAAAAGGAACAGGAAAAGCATGGATTTAAGAAAAGCCACCACAATGTCCAGAAAACAGCAAATGGAACATTTTTTTTAGAACAGGATCTCCAACTTGACCAGGAAAAAAAAAAACCATCTGGAAGTCATGATATACCTTGACACTGGGAAATGTAACAACCAGTTTAACATGTAAGTTCCATACTGAATCACACATCACCAAATATTGATTTCTAAAACAGATAGATTGAGTTGTAAAGGAGATAACAAAGACTGAAGCAAAATGTACAAAATAAATAAAATGGGAAAACTGTTTTTAGTACTCAAAAAAAAAAAAACCCAAACCCCACACAGGTGTACCTACAGGTGTACCTGAAAGAATTACTGAGCACAGACACAGTATAAGAGTGAACAAGACAGACTCTATCCTATGGAGGTGATCTGGTGGTGAGGTAAGGCTATCATATGATCTGTCATTTAACAGCAATACAAACTTGGGAGAACCTACAGCAGAGAGCAAGTCTTGGAAGGCTACTCATAAATATGATGTCAAAGAGCACAGACTGTGACTCTTAAGAGGCTAAAGCAGTACATAAATGGAGGAAGGAAAGAAGGCCGGCACTGCACAAGATGCTGAGAGTAGCTCACTATGCAGTTCCAAAATGAAATCCAACAGGAGAAGCTCAAGGCTACCTTTAAAAAAATAGTTTTCTGTCCCCAAAGCTGCTATACATTTATCAGGAGACACTTAGGTATCAGTTTCATTTTATCTCTAGGTAGTTGTCTGTTAATCACCTCCAAACTGAGCTCTACCTAGACATAAAACAGGGGAGACCATATTCATTTCAAAGACATTCAGCCCCAAATCTACAAAACGAATTTTGCTGAATTTCTACGTTTAGGATTTAAGTCATTTTGGAAGGACAGAATCTGACAAAAATCACATGAACTGACTGCTCACCAGGATATAAACCAACTAGGAGAGGAAAAACCACCACTCTCAGCTTAAAGGTACACAGATATTTTTCAATGGGCTAAGGAAAAGCAAAATTGTGAACAACATTCCAAATGAGGAGGAGGAGAGAATGGCAGATCAATTAAGGGGGTGAGGGGGCTGACATACTTGGTTCCTAGTTTTAAAGCGATAGGCTCTATTGTAAAAACCCCTGGAAAAGAGTAACCCACCCGCCCCCGTGTGCCCTCGGAAGTGCTGGGTCCTGGCTCCGGAACTCCATTCCCAGCAGGCCACAGTGTTGTCAAAGGAGCCTGTCACAAGCTTCTGCTCATCGAACTTCACTGCTGCACATGTGTGGGTCTGGATGCCATAAACACACTGCCCTGTGCTCACATCCCACAGCTTTGCAGACAAGTCATCTGACCCTTTAAAAGAAAAGCAGGGGAGTTATTAATGAAACACACCCCGAATAAGGAAAATCAATCCCCAAAACACAGTATTCTCAAAAAAGACCCTCAGGGTCACCTTCTCCAGTATTCCCATTTTAATGATGAGAAAACCAATAAATGGAGAAAATATAAGTTGCTTAGTCACCAAAATGCTGTCAAATGCACTAGGATAGGATCACAAAATCGAAGCTTTTAAGTTTCAGATTTTCCCATTAATTCTCCAGGTGATGAAAAAGAGATTAAAGCATCCCTTGGTACGTTCATTGAAGAATTCCATGAATCTGTGGGTAGTATGAGTTTTTGGATCTGAGTTTGAAATGGCTGGGTGCTACCTATGACTGTATGCTTGTTTACTACCCAACAGTTCTAAATACATAAGGAAAGTTGGCTAGTAAAGCTGTTTGCTGAAACACAAGCAAAGGCAAGTCAAAGATAAGCGTCCGAACTGGGTACAAGTGGCTCATCCCTGAAATCTCAGCTACTTGGTAGGATGAGATCTGGGTATCACACAGTTTGAAGTCAGTCCAGACAGTAAAGTCCCTGAGAATCTTATTTCCAATTAAGCATTAAAAAAAAAAAAAAGGCTAGAACTGAGAGTTGTAGCTCAAGTGGTACAGCAGTAGCCCAGCAGAAAAAAAAAAAAAAAACTCAGAAGCAGTGCCCAGGCCATGAGTTCAAGCCCCAGGATTGGTGAAAGAAGGAGAGAGGGAAGGGGGAGGAGGGAAGGGGAGAGGGAGGGAGTGGTTGGGGGGCGGCGGCACGGGAGATGACTAGCTCAGACCACTGGCTAACTTCTACAAAAAACAAACTGGTCTTCTCTTGCGTGGTCTTGAAATAATGTGAAGAAGCCTCAAAGAAAACCAGTGATAAATCACAGCAAGCATTCAAATGAACTTTCAAACTGTTTTTATAAAGCTCCTTAAAATTCTGTAGGAAAAAAAATAGAAAGTTTTTTTTCCCTGTCTCTAATGACAATGTTATATTAATCATGGTGACAATTCGAGACTCTGGTCTAATTAAATTGAGCCCTAATGGTTAATTCTTTTCTCACAATTTACTTTTAATTTAAAGACTCAACAAAAAGATACTTTGAGAAGATATTAAATATAGTCATAATGACCAGGACATAGTATTGTAAGAAACCACCCAATAACCAGTTTTAAAAAGGCTGAAATGACTAAATAAAACCAACCACAACTCCACCATTAGTCAAAAGCCACTGTTTCTTTCTTTTTTTTTTTGGTGGGTCATGGGGCTTGAACTCAGGGCCTGGGTGCTGTCTAAGCTTTTTAACTCAAGGCTAGCAGTCTACTACTTTAAGTCACAGCATCACTTCCAGTTTTCTGGTTGTTAATTGGAGATAAGAGTCTCACAAACTTTCCTGCCTGGGTTGGCTTTGAACTGCGATCCTCAGATCTCAGCCTCCTGAGTAGCTAGAATAATAAGCATGAGCCATAGTACCTGGTTTAAAGCCACTGGTTTTTGTTTTGTCTTGTTTTTCTGTCAGTCATGGGGCTTGAACTCTGGGCCTAGGAGCTGTCCCTCAGCTCTTCAGCTCAAGGTGAGCACTGTACCACTTGAGCCACAGCACCACTTGCGGTTTTATGAGTGGTTTCTTGGAGATAAGAGTCTCACAGACTTTCCTGCCCAAGCTGGCTTTGAACCGTGATCCTTAGATCTCAGCCTCCTGAGTAGCTAGGATTACAGGCATGAGCCACCAGTGCCTGGCAAAGCCACTGTTTTTGACAATGGAAAATAACTATCACTATGAACAATGAAAGCATGACTTTGACATGGGCAGACTCACTGAGGAAACAGAAAAATGATGACTGTATTTGTTGTCAAACCACTATTTAAGTTTGTTTCTTTCTCTAAAATGAGGGGTAGGACTTGGTTGATGGTTTTCAATGGGCATGTGAGACATTAGAATTATCCAAGTAGCTTCAGGAACATACACAAACAATGGCTGGGGATACAGCTCAGTAGAGCACTTGTCTATCATGCATGAAGCCCTTGGTTCCATCCTCAATGCTGCAAAAGTGAACAAACAAGCATCATACATAAACAGGGGCACTATCCAGAAATTCCTGTTTAGAATTCTTGAGGTAAAGTGCAATAATCTTAAAAGTTAGTCAGGTAATTCTAACATATCAGCAATATTTGGGGATTCAAAGGTCTACAACAGTATTATCTAACAAAAATGAAGATGTAAATACATATACCATTCCAAAATGTCCTAAAAGTCACTTAGAAAAATAAAAACACATTAAAAATAATTTATCTGTGTGTGTGTGTGTGTGTGTGTGTGTGTGTGCGTGCGTGCGTGTGTTCGCACTCAGGGTCTGGGTGCTATTCCTGAGCTTTTGTGTCCAAAATCAGCCACAGCTCAACTTCAGCTTTTTTGGTAGTTAACTGGAGATAAGGAGTATCATGGGCTTTCCTGTTCGGGCTGGCTTCAAAGCATAATCTTCAGATCTCAGCCTCTTGAATAGCTAGGATTACAGGTAAAAGCCACCAGCTCCTGGCTAACTCAGTTTTTTTAACAAAATATTAAAGCTTTATTTAACATATTAACTTACTGATGAAAATTATAAATGAATTATTTTATATTCTGTAAAATTTTTAGTTTTTTAATTCTGGTATTTCAATTTCACATCTCAATTTGAACTAGCCATAGCTCAAGAACTCAAAACAGGGCTTGTGGCTACTGTGCTGGACAGCACAGATTTAAAGACCTTTTGCTTGTATGTTTCTTAACTATATTCTTAAAGAGCTATTGTAGGAAAATAAATCACTGTAGGTCATATAAGAGCTTGGTTCTAACCTACTGCCAGTGTTCAACTGGAGTTTTATTCATTTATTCAACATACATGTATAGAACTTCTGTGCTAAGCAGCGCTACTGCTGTCATGGCAAAAAATAAAGACAAGAAAAGCTAGCTGGCTCACACCTGTAATCCTAGCTACTCAGAAAGCTGAGATCTGAGGATCACAGTTCAAAGCAAGCCCAGGCAAGAAGATCCATGAGACTCTTATCTCTAATTAATCACAGAAAAAGCTGGAAGCGGCACTATGACTCAAGTGCTAGAGCACTTGTCTTGAGCAAAAGGAGCCCAGTGACAACACCCAGGCCCAGAGTTCAAGCCCTACTACCAGCAGGGAAAAAAAAAAGCTAAACAGGTAGTAATAATTCAGTACAGTCACTGGGGGACAGCCTAAAGGCAATACTAGAGGATAAAAAGAAAGTTTCTCAGATGAGCTCCTGCTGCACATGTCAGTGGTCTACAAACATGCCTCAGATGATGGTATGACAGGATCCTCAACTATATTCCTCTTTTATTTTAGCTTAAGCTCAGCTTCAACATGTTTAAACAAATGACTTCATGGCTTAAAAAAAAAAAAGCCTTGAAAGTTTGGCACCAGTGCTCATGTTTTTTTATCTTAGTTACTCAGGAACCAAGATCTAGAGAATCACAATTAAAGCTGACCTGGGTAGACAAGCCCAGAAGACTCCATCTCCAAACTAACAAAAGACTAGACTGAAGTCATGGCTCAAGTCGTAAAGGGCGTGCCTAGCAAATGTCAAGCCTTGAGCTTGAACCCCAGCTACCCTACCACCACCACACACAAAAGAACCTTTGATTCTAACTCATTAAAGTCCATATAATCAGTTAACCAGGCAAAGAAATAAAAAATAAATGGTATATGCTATTTCTTTTATATTAGTAAAACTTCTCCTATAGAAAATTATATAGAAAATATTTAAGGTTTTGTTAACCAGTCTGTTACAATCAGTCTTCTGGAGGATATGGCCCACATTCAGTGGTTTGCCAACTCCAGGCATACACATCTAGTGGTGTAGTATGAAGCATCTCTATATTACATACACATATATGAATAGGCACTCAAGCCAATTAAAAAAAGCAACTACTGAACTATTGGGAGCCACTCTTAGTCTACATTACCTGTTAAAATGCATTGGTTAAACATGGATACAAGAAAGAAAGAAAGAGAGAGAGAGAGAAAGAAAGAAAGAAAGAAAGAAAGAAAGAAAGAAAGAAAGAAAGAAAGAAAGAAAGAAAGAGAGAGAGAGAGAGAGAGAGAGAGAGAGAGAGAAAGAGGGAGGAAGGGAGGGAAGAGGGGAAGGAGGGAGGGGGAGCGGGGGAAGGAGGAAGGGAAGGAAGGAAAGGGGGAGGGCGGGAGGGAGAAAGAGAAAGAAGGCAGTCAGGCAGGCAGGAAGGAGGGAAGGAAGGAAAAGGAAAAGGAAAGCTCAGTGTGACCGGAAAATGGTAGCAAGGCAAGCTGCCATTAAAGCCAGGAAGATGTTTAACTATGATTTTATCTGCATTTCTGAAGTTGGGGAAAACTGGATGTTGGGGAAAACTGGATGGCTAGAAGGCTAAAGAAAGAGGACAAACAAAATGTGGTCTAGAGCTACAATATAGTATTATTTGGTCCTTGAGATGAAACTTTAATACATGCAAGAATATGGAAAAACCTCAAAGACATTGTGCTAAGTGAAATAAGTCAATCAGAAAAGAAGAAATATTCTACTTGTGTGAGGTACCTAAAATAATCACATTCATAGACAGCTGACTGGAGGAAATGAGAAGTAGATAACTAATAACTAGCATTTAGCTGATATGGTTTCAGTTTGAGAAAATGGAAATAATTCTGGAAATGGTGGTATTGACATCCTTAATGGCACAGAACTGTACATTTTAAAATGATTAAAAAGGGGTTTAGAAGTATGGCTTAGGTAGAGTGCTTGCTTAGCCTGTCAAGTGTTGCCCTGGGTTCCATCCCCAACACTGGTTGGATGAGTGGGTGGATAGATGGATGAATGGATAGATGGATGAATGGATGGATGGAGAGAGAGAGACAGACAATTCATTTTCAACACAGTGTCTGGTGAGTACCACTGCTGCATATATTCACCCTTTATCTCATCATTTCTGTGCCCCCTTACCCTCAAATACAAATA